GACTGAGCAGCTCAACACTGAAAGAGTGAACACAGTGGGAGAGCTGTCATTCAAGTGTGTTTGAATTCTTGTATTGGATAACACTCCGATAATACAAACCCTTGTTTCCATTTTCATTTGGAATTCCCTGTCATCTGTGTGAGTGAAACTGTTTGACAGTTACCAGAAAATCTTTGAATTAGAGAGCTGTTTTTGTTTATTACACCACTTGATCAAATGTGAACTGAAAATGTGACAGCACTAAGAATGAAACTTGGATCTCCTAAAGATGTACCAGCAGAAAAAGCATCTTAACGCTGGTCATGCTGCTTTTATAAATCTTTTTAGAAATGTGTACTCTGTAGTACCAAATAGTATTATATCTGATATGCACTTTGTGTGGGTCACAGGCATCCATAAAATCACTGTAAATAATTATGTGAATGAAATCTTTCTTTTTCTATTTCTCAGTGTTTATCTTATTTTGTGTGATGCATCCTCTCTCTTTCTCTGATGCCTTTTTCAATATGGGATACCTCTAATCATATGACATTGATTATTAATGAAAAATGAAAATGAAAATGAAAATGAAAGAAGGTAGAGTGCAGAAGAGAAAATTAGATTGTCAAGAGATTCTAACATTTAGAATTACATGTTGAAAAAAAAAACTTGCTAATTATCCTCAGCAATTCTTCAGATTATTAAAAAGTTCCTCACACTAGGAAAAACAGTTATTTTAAGATTAAAGATTCCGTTAAAGGTTCTGTATAGGCCTGTCTGACTCAGATCTTGAGTCTTATTAATAAACAAATGAACACTATTTATACATTTAAAAAAACATTTAACATGCATAAGAATGGATTTTCTGAGTACATGTAACAAGGCCAATGTGTTCCAGTGTGATTTTAAATCTACTCAGTGGAGGGAGACATTTTGAGGAGTGACTTAATATAGAAAACTGTGAAGGAAAAAACAAATCGTTTGCAGATGAGGTCATGTGGGCTACCCATGCTAATTGAATACACACATATTTGTGGACACAAACTTAAAAGGCCCTTTAATTGATACATTCATACAGGCAGTCTTAATATGGAGAGACAGGAGCAGCTCTGTCCTCGGCTCTCCGGAGTTCAGCCGTCTCAATCACACAGATGTTAGCTCAGGGACTGGTTTAGCCAAAGGTTAACAGTCAAGCACAAAACACACACAGAGAGATTGAAAATTGGAGAAGTGTAGGCATCCAAACCAAAGAGGGACACATTAGCTGAACCACAAATATAGGCATCTTCTGCCAAGAACATAGTCATATTTGCTCTTCTGCCACAGGCCTGTGTTCCATATTTAGGTTATAGTCATAATTTGTAACTTCTTACTGTTAATTCAAACTCCAAAGGGCAGACATGAATTGGCATATTTACTATAATCCAGAATTACATATGTAACGACATCAGCCAATGTAATGTGAGGCATTTTATCCATTCATAAGCAGTCGTTCCCTGACACAGCGGATGCCCGCTGTGTAGTACATCAAGTATAATGGGATTGAAAGATTTGCTGCAGTAAAATTGGGACACAGATGCCCCAACATTCTCTACGGAGTCTCTGACAGCCACGTTCTGCCGTAAGACCAGAGGCAACCACCGAAATCACGGGCGAACAAGAGGAACGATGACAAGCCTGTGATACACACTTCCACTCTCGCACTGCATACTTTGATTTCCTGCCCCATGGTGATAGTAGGGATTTTACAATATATGCATTCTTACACACTTTTTCTATCCCCATCCTTCAACCAGCCTCCGTTTCTCATTGTTACAGGCTAAGTTATGTATGACAAACGCCTTGGGCAGAATCACCATCAAAGCGTCAGATGGGGGGGAATTCAGCATCTCTAAGCTTCTTACAGATGACACATGTCACGTTTTGAAGTGCGCGGGGGATGAAAGTAGCAAGGAAGTGACGGATTTCGGCACGGACAGTTTTCTCGCGTGTCACAGCCGTCACCAGTAGAACCGCCGATGGAACCGGACTGGCAGGTCAGGGACTCGCCGGGCGTCTGGGCAGCTGTCTGTGGGATGGGATCTCTGGGGCCTGAGTGTCAGACGTATGTCTGGTTCACCTGTTCTGCCCGCTGTGCAACCCCGTAATGACATGCTGTTACTGATCTGAGCACCAACATGAACACTTTGGCTTCTGCAGCACGGGTGACACCTGGTCATTTCAAATGAAAAGTCACACTCAGCTTTTTTCTACATGCTATGGCTGTTCACTTGAAGGAATATTCCAGAACAAGTCAAGCTCAATTAACAGCATGTGCGGCATAATGTTGATTACCACAAAAATGTATTTAGTCCCTCTTTGCACCAAAATGCAAAACTGGAGGTTACGGCAAAGTACTGAAGCTCTCGCACTTCCTCTCCCAGCTTCCCTTTATCTGATACCACCCTACCCATCTCTCTGTCTTGCTTGCTATCTGTTTTTTTTTTTCATTCTCTTTTTCTCTGACTTTCTATCTATTAGGTTTTAGAGTTATTATTTCTAATAAGAATGGAACTTCTGCTATGCGCTATTTTGAAAGTGTGTGAGTCATAATGAGGGACAGTGCAAAATAATAAGGAAAACACACAAAGCCTTCATATCAACCTGGAAATCTGCATAAAATAGCTCATAAAACATAAAGATGTGATAAGATGTGATACTGCAGTGACACAACCCAAAACATGTGAAGTTAAAACCTAGGCCCTAAGAGCCGGAACTGATCACTGCAGTGACCAGCCTTGCTGTCGGAAGCACTGACATCAATAGCAGCTGAGAACATTCGATGAAGAAGGCCTATGAGAAGCCAAAAAATAATCAGATATGTTGAAACGGTTCCTGAGTGCTGGGAGCAAAGTGAAAAGTGGACAGTGTGTACCACTGAAAGAGAATGCAGAGGAGTTGTTGTTCATTCCATTGCATGGTCGACAACCTATTGGAAAGCAAAGGGAAATAGATGTACAGAAAGTTACAAGAAAGGTTGTTGAATTAAGCTTTATAAGGCTGTGGATCAGAAGAAGTAAATCATGCTTAAAATGCTTCTCGGAAAATGACTGGGTCACTTGAGCAAGGGAGTCTGATGCTATGTCAAAGTACCCAATGACTGCTTACATCACTAATTATATTAAATTAATATTTTACCATATGTTTTTCTTAAAACCTAGTGGGTACTAGTTAGGGATGCACCGATACCGATACTGGTATCGGGCCCGATACTGGCCTCCTGTACTCGTACTCGTACTCGTTAAAATGCCCCGATACCAAACGCCGATACCACACAGCATGTGATAAGCGCCATATTTAAACAAAGAAATGAGTCTATTGACAATTTGAGATATATATATATATATATTGTATAATTATAATTTTATATATTTAATAACCATTTATTTAGTAAAAACACTGTGAACAACTTAACAATTATGTACACATGGATAGGAATATCTAAACACATGAGCACACAAGAAGGTATGAAAAAACTCAACATATTGTAGTACTAGTATGCTAATTATACCAATCATCTTGTCAAGGCTTTGAATTATGTCTTTGAAAGAAGGGGATATGATGTCACATTTCAGTCATATTCTGTGATCTGTCCATTATTTTGCTTGCAATTGAAAAAAAAAAAGAAGTTTAGCATAAAATGACAAAGGATGGACTCAAGATGGAAGATGATCTCATTTAATGCCATTCTTTCCCTTCAACACAGGCCTAATGAGCGCCATCTGTCTGTGCTATCATTTTCTGTGCGGTGACATGTATTCCCCAGTTCTTTACATTCTTGATTTTAGTCAAGATCAAAATAGCTCAAACGTGGATGAAAGTGGCATTCGACATATAAAAGTCACGCCTTAGCTTTGTCTTGATTTAACATGATATCACCATTTGGGTATTCCCTTTGAAATCGGAGAACTGGCATCTGCAGAAATCACAGAGGAAGTCAGGAGACTGCATATCACATGCTGTTATATCTCCATTGCTCGAGCAGCTGTTCATGAGACTTTTATCCCAAACTACTTCCATCTCTTCAATTGTTCCCTATGTAACTTGGCACAGCCAACGAACTCCACCCTCAAGACATGTTGAGTTAATATTGTAAAAATGTATTTTTCTGTTGTTGCTGTTGACTCGGAGAGTACGTTTAACTGTGTCACCTTCTGTTACAGCAAAACGTCTCGGGTTACTTGTGTAACCATGGTTCCCTGAGGGGAACGAGACACTGCGTCCTCTAGGGGTCGCTATGGGGAACGCCTCGTCGTGACCCGTGTCTGAAGCCTACATTGAAAAAACACCAACTTGTTTGGCCGGCGACAGCCATGGTCAGTGAAGACGAAGAAGAGAATGATGTGTGCTACCGGTGCCTATTTTGTACTAGTCGCGGCGGTAGTGACGTCATGGCTGTCGCCGGCCAAACAAGTTGGTGTTTTTTCAATGTAGGCTTCAGACACGGGTCACAACGAGGCGTTCCCCATAGCGACCCCTAGAGGACGCAGTTCGAAGTTCCACGAAAGGGAACCAAAGGTTGCGGGAAGAGTATAAAGTACATTTTCATACATCTCACCTCAATTAACTGGAACACAGACTTTATCTGTCATCATTTGAGAAGGAAACTGCTCTTGATAGCAGGCCTGCTCTCCACCCTCAGTCCTGCCTACAGTGGCAGAGTGTCTGGTTCTCTCTCCGGCAGTTATACGCCGTCTCGTTAGTGGTTGTGTCAGTCTATGATCTCAGTAATGATGAGGCTGTAAAAGTGCCAGAGTTAACCCAGGCTCCACAGGGCCCTCAGGGCCAAAGGGTGACTAAGGGGGAGGAGAACCCATATTAGGAGGTGTGTCCCTGGAGAGAGAGACTGGTACAACTCCTCCCTCCCTCCAGAGCTCCAGACGCAGAGTCCCTGATGGAACGAGAAACCCGTACACTCACTTTTCTCTTCCACTCCCGTTAGCAACTTCACCCATGCCATGCAAATATTGTAAAAATAATTTAAGGCCTATTGCTTTGGTAATGAGCCCCCAAGTGAATTCAAGCACTTAAACTGGCTCTCTAAGCATCAGGTGAAATCATGTCAAACCAATGCTCTGAGGACGCTTGTTGTAGAGAAGAGGGGTATAAAACAACAAAATCTGCATTTTTATTGCATTTTTTTCTCTTCTTGCCAGTTCTCACCAAACTGGGTGTGCTGTCCTACTTCTGCTCTTATTCTTGGATTTGGTTTGTTTGGGGTTTTTGCTCTGGCAGTGCAGTGAAATCACAATAAACAGTGACTCTGAGATGAAGGAACACAGAAGATGCACAAATAAAACATTATAATGCAACCAGTTCATCTTAAAGGAAAATTTTACTTTTCTTATTTTTCATTATTTTATTTTATCTTGCAAATAAAGAAAGTGACATTAACACCCGTGACTAAATAATACTGATATCAACAATCAAACAATTGTATTGTATAAAAAAACAAATTACACCCTTCATATGGAGCATCCTGACTATTAGAAAAAGAATCAAGAGCCATACCCAGCCTAAGGTGCAGTGCAAAGCTACGCAGCTGTCCTGGCGCTGACTGGAATTACAACTATCCAAAACAATCATGGGCAAGACTACAATACTAACCAGGCGATCCAAAAACATTTTGGGAGACTGGCATTCAATTAGTGGATGGCCAGACTATCACTGTCCAGAATTCCAGACAAGCCAGACAATGAGGAGGCAAATTACACAAAAGGCCAGACGGTGACTGTGCAAGTAACTGTAATCAGCAGCCCTAAGTCCCCGGCCGTCAACGTACCAACCAGCACCCTTACAAAACCATTACGGCACAGTCATTCTAATTTGAACAGTGAGGCAGACAAAGTGGCCAACACAGAAAGAGGAATTACCCAAAGGCACGCGCCTGTCTGCATGTCATGTGAGACAACCAATTAAAATCACTTATTGCCAGAGTAATATGCTGCGCTATAGTGGTAGAAGAAAACAGCTTTGGGAGGATAATCTCTGCCGTAACCTGATCTCATTCACTCAGTCTCAAGTCTCAGCCTCGCTGCTGCAGGCTGTGAGAGTCCTGGGCTTCGGCTGACACTCTGGCCAAAGCTTGGAGGAGCCACAAAGGCTGGGAGAGACCCAGACTAGGTCGGAAGGGACAAATGGCCACTCACGCTTCCCTACACACATGAAATGTTCCCATCCGAACTGTATCAAAATCATTTTGTATGTGAGAGTAGAATGATTACGGTCATGGTTGATACAATCTATGGGCCTTATCCATAAAACACAAGCATAACAAATGTGTGTGTAAATCATGCGTAAAACCATGCTTACATAAAATAAAGCCTTCAGTTCAACAGAGAAAACTTACGTGCGAATGGATTTATGAACGATTTATGCATAAATTCATTCTGCTCATGTTTCATATGTGTTAATAAAGGAAATGGGTCCACAGGTGTCGTTGTGACATCTGTGCTCTGTACAATAATGCCATAACTGTCCAGTATAAAGAGCAGGTGCTGAGTGAGTGTCTAATCATGCTATTCTTACAGGCTTCAGACTTTACCCACACATGTCCCACTGTAATCTTAATTCACTGCAGCTCCATGTTCTCCCATGAAAAGCACTTTTCATTGGCCAATGCAAAAATACTTCAGAGGCCCAGTTAAATAATAAAACACATTAGGAATAACTCAAAGGTTAAGCGTGTACAATGCCTCTGAGATCATCCCCGGCTTTAAAAAGCATTTAGGATCATATGTTTAAGGGCCCATAAAATGACATCATCTGTCCAGCAGGAACGGCAAGTGTCAGCAGCAGTTATTCTCTCCCTATGTAGTCAGAGCGGACCACTGATCCACCCTGCCAGCTTTGTGGCTTTCTCGGGCTGCTAACCAGAGGACAGCCATGACTTGAGTGACAGGACAAGTCTTGCCATTTACCTACTTGAGGCCGCATGTTATTTAAAATCTCCCATTAAAGGGTTAGTTCACCCAAAAATGAAAATTAGCCTATGAATTACTCACCCTCAAGGCATCCTGGGTGTATATGACTTTCTTCTTTCAGACGAATTCAGTTGGAGTTATATTAAAAATTGTCTTTGATCTTCCAAGCTGTTTAATGGCAATCAGTGGGTGTTGCAGTGCATCAGGACCCCCCGGAGCCGTGTGAGGCACTTTTTATTTTAGATAGATCTGCTTTATTTCACTTCTTTTGGACTGATGAACTCCGCTTTATTTCACTTCTTTTGGACTGATGAACTGCAACACCCTCTGACTGCCATTAAACAGCTTGGAAGATCAAAGTCAATTTTTAATATAACTCCGATTGGATTCATCTGAAAGAAGGAAGTCATATACGCCTAGGATGGCTTGAGGGTGAGTAAATAATGGGCTAATTTTCATTTTTGGGTGAACTTTCCCTTTAATTCTCTTCTATGGAGAAGGCCGCAGATAAACCATCACTGGGCGACCCAAAACCCCAAGTGGCTTGTGCCGGTTTAGTCTAAGTTTGAATTGGCACTGAAGAGCATACTTTCCCGCTCTTTTCCTAGTTTAGATGCCAAGCTACACACACATACACAAAGACGGGGTTCTCAAGAGTCTGACGGTTGATGTTTAGCTGTATTTAGTCTGCCCTGAACATGGAGCAACGTGAGGAAATCAGCATTGTCACGTTGTTGTGGCAAGTGGTGAGGTCGAATCCGTCAACACAGACTTTCCACACTGTAATTATACACTGCCACTGAGGATTGAGACACCATGTTATTCTTAATTATCACATTGCTTGAATTCTTATACCATTCTAGCGCATTCCAGGCAAGAAATGCTGTTTGGAATTTATGAATATGTTATACCCGAGCCAAATTTAGAAGAACGTGCCTTTGAGTGGCTTTTATTTTGGCGCTTGGACGGTCATTGGCTATATAAACACCATATTTCCATCCATCTGTGCCCCTCTCCATAAAACACACAGTTCATATAATACTGAAGTCACACCAACTAGAAACATACAAATCCGGGGAACCTCTTTTCCTCCCATCTTCCACTGTCAGAACAACTGCTTGGCAGTCTATTGTTGGCAGCGAAAGTTTGGCTGGCACCCATCTGGAGCCAGGCAGCCTGCACATTCTCTGGGTATAGATCTAATGAGGCCTGCTGATGGACCAGCCGTGGTCACGCTGGTGTGGGTTACAAATATAAAGCCCTGGGCTGTATGAATCCTCCATGTTGTGAAGTAATTCTTCGGACTGTGGGAATGTAATGCTAAAGGCTTGGGCCAGGACAGACACACAGCTGATGTGCTCAAAAACCTGTCTGCGCTTCTGGAACCTGATTAGAACACAGAGCACATGAAGACAGAGTTTGAGCATGGCCAGGGATGGTGAAGGTTGGCATGTCAGCTGTGGAGCAATGAGGCAGGATTCTGGAATAAAGAAGAGACAGGGCAAAGCTTCAGCTGGATGGCTGTGTTTTGGCTTTTGGGATGAGGGAGACTGGGACAGGCAATGCAAGCCTAGCCTTGGAATGGCTATAATGGATAAAAGGGCCATGACAAGCCCCTGTCTGGAAGAGAAGTGTACGAGTAGGTCAGCCAATGTTTGACTTTCTGCAGTCTCTTGCTAGTTTTCCGGGAATCATTACACAGAAACATCATTCCTTCAAAGAGTTTGTTGAATTCATATCCTAAAACACTTAAAAGTAGTAAACTATTAGATTTTATTTATGGCACATGTTAGCGATTCACCAATATAATGCTCTGACCAATACCAATACGATAATAATTTTCATGCAGATAACAGATAAATGGTTGATATTTAAAATTCTATACTATTTCGTTAAAATAAATGTAAAATAAATCACAACATCAATCATTTTAAATACTATACAAGTGAATGTAGGCATCACAAAAATATAATGTACAGTATTGAAAATGTATTTAGGATTTCTTCAAGATTGCTTTTAGCAGTGTTATTAATGTTTTTAAAGATGAACTTAGTGAACAACATAACATGAATGTATGTGAATTAATAATAAATGTTAAAACAGGAGAAATAAACATGCACAATTAAACATTCAATATCAATACGCTAATATCATCATTCCTCTTAAAATAAAAAAAGACAGATGTTCATTTCTCTCTTAAATCCATGTCTCGGAGATACTATAGGGTTATTGACTGATGCTGTGTGATGCATTTTCACCCAGACTTAGTCTTATAATACTGCCAGCTGTGCGATGCAGTTCTGCCATGCCAGTCTTGCCAGGGCACACAGGCAGGGGGGGGTAGAACCTTGGGGTCTGTGATGGAGATGGTGGGGGGTGGGAGTTGTGGGGGTCAGTGTGCCAGGGCTGCCCTCTGGTGTTGAGGAAGAAAAGAATGAGTGTAAACAGTGGGGAAGGGCAAATCTGGCAACACGGCCTTTCTCAGTTAAAGAGATAATTGGCCTTATTGATGTATAAAATATGCCCCACTGTGCCTCCAGAATCTCCATTAGGGCTGAAAAGTCTAAATAGTTTATGTGCTGCTTCTGAATACAGAAATAGAAAGATTAATCTTCTCCCACAGTGTGCTTACTGATGTGTGCGTACCTTTTTTCCCCACTCTGTTCTCTACACAAATATAGCTTCAGGGATTAATTGCATAAAATATCCAGAATTTATGAAAAGCATGAGCATTACAGACTAAAGGGAGGTTAATGAAGATAGTCACACTCAAATTCAGAGAAGTCGTCTTTGATATGATTTTGAAGATGACACTGAGGATAAAATCAATGAAGATATTCAGAGAGCAATCTACCAATTATATCACACGCCGCATATCAAAAAGGTTTTGTATACTGTATGTATGCCCTTTATATAGGTGATTATAGATAAGAAAAGGAATGATGAGGTATGGCTGCCATGGACATTGCAATGCATTTCCCTCCTCCTAGAGAAGCTCCGTTTAAGTATTCATCCGACGAACTTTGAGATCCTGCCGCTCTCCCTCTGATCAGACTCTCTGATCCCTTTG